GTAGAAATCCCCCGTGATTTGCGATTTGTGATTTGGCGCCCGGGAGAAGTTCGCGCGCTGTGACTTTCAAAAAAGAACTGGGGAGAGTTAAATTTCCTCGTAATTTTGTTTTTTTAGCAAAAATACGCTAAAAATTAGGTTTTTCGTCCGAAGATTTCAATTTTAAAGATTCAAACTTGGTTTTCTGGATAGTTTCCGTGCCGAACAAAATACGACTTTCAGGTACACAAAAAATAACGTTAAGTCTTTTCTACGGCTTCCAAACATGATTTGTGCAATAGTCCAAGTATCATGGATGCTTTTAAGTTTTTTATCTATGTTTTAGGATAGCTAGAAAGGCAGAAATCCGAGTTTTTCGAAGAGGTGTATTTTCGCCGCCGTACCTCCAATGGTGGCCTTCAATTTGGCTTCAAAGATGGCGGCCGAGTTATCGTTCCAGTCTTATTAGAGTTCACTGGTTTTTTCGATTAAAAGGGCTGAACTGTGCCTTTAAAAGCTTACTCGCAAGCTCGTAGCGTGTGCATGCATCTATAATTAGAATAAACTGTCAAACATTGTGATTAGATGAAAGCACTCGCAGCGAGCTTGCGAGTTGACTCTTGTGATGAACGGAAAAGTGATTTTAAACTAGCCGCATAAATCTCACATTACTCGGTCATATTGAATTTTAAATTCCCCTGATTCTGGAACTACATTTGACAATGTTTAGTTTTACGAGGTTTCGACCAGAAAAATGAGACGATTTTCTATTTCATTTTGCAAACGACTGGGACACTAAAGACAATTAAAGAAAGATGGCGGTGTTATTAGCCCGCCATAATTACGTATATTCATTTACTAGTAAAACTTGAATTTTTGGGGGGCCCGGGAGCACGTTTTCAACTAAAGCAACTACTTATTCGTTCCATAAAATATAAATATTGTAGGTATGACGGAACAGCCAGGTGGACGGAACAGCCAGGTGGCTGTTCCATTAATATGCTTTTAATGCTTTTAATGTGCTTTTAATGATTTTAATATGCTTTTAATGGAACAGCCAGGAATGGAACAGCCAGGTGGCTGTCCTTTAATATGCTTTTTTTATGCTTTTAACAGCCACGTCGTTGTTCCATTAATATGCTTTTAGAATGAAGGTTTGAGTTGAATTGAGCTAGTGAATCGAAAGTTCTAATAAAAATGGTGATTTTCCTCTGTCTTGAATGCTAGGTCTGAGGTCTCTTAAACCAAATAATTAGAGGATGCATGTCCCTGCGGTACCCTCAGGGCCGCTGCCCTTGCAAAAAGGGTAAAAACAGGAAATTAAGCTATTCGCAGTAAAATAAAGCGGGGCGCAAATCGCGCGTGAATGCCAATGCATACACATCGTTTACTGAATTAACTCCACAAGACCTTTTAAAATCTTTCGGCCTCATGACTCAAAGGCGAAAAATCGGTGGCATCAATTTTATATTTTAAAGTATAAATTTACAGAATGTATTCAAACTGTGCCTTTCACCATTATTGTAAGATCTAAAGGCGTTCGGAAATCTTGCTTTGAACGATGGGGCCAAGAATCGATTATTCATACTTGTTTTCTATTATACAGATATGCAAAAGACGTGTGCCCAAACTATAAAATTTCAAAGATAAAGACTATTAAATACTATTAATATGGGTATAGCTATATATCGTGTAATTCACAATGTTACGGTATTTTCCACAAAACTGAAAATGGAGACAATCCAATGCCAATTATATAGTCTATACACATTTCAGGAATTAAATTCTGCTGAACAATCAATTCTGCTCAATAATAGTAATTATAGTATATTATCTAATACAAAACTACATATTTTTATCTCAAAACGGTGTAGTGGAGTGGAACACAGGCTGCAGATGGACTGGCTTTGCGGTATAATAAATATTATTTTTAATATGCAGAGAGAATTTCACGATATTCACCTGAAGATGAATGATATCGAATTACGAAGATATTTTGGTGTATCTTCTCTGTCAAACGGTACGTGACGTGAACCTATCTAATATTAGTAGACAAATTTATTAGATGCCAATAAATTAGAAAAGGTATTTTACATAAAAGGATTCCTAATTAGGATCTGATATCATCCGAGATAGGACTCTGAGTGCATGTGATCCCAGCGCCTTTTTTAAGGATTTTCCCGGGGGGAGGGGGATTTCTTGAAAAGGGACCTTTCTGTGAGATAATATAATAGGGGTATAGCAATGGCGGAAGGCCATGTATTTGGCTGACATACCATGCATGAATAGGGGGGTCTGGAGGCATTCTCCCCCAGAAAATGTTTGAAATTTGAAGCCCGGAAATGCAATTTCCTGCATTCCGAGCATCCAAATTAGCTCTAAAATTTATGCTAACTATACTTGTATTTGAAATAAAAGAAGGAAAAAAACGAACAAAAGGTTTTAAAAAATATTAACCATAATTTATCATTACTTATTGGAGGGGATAGCAATGGCCGATTAGGCCACGTGTGTGGGCGCATACTCTCGCAGAAAATATTTGAAAATTGAAGCCCGGAAATGCCATTTCCTGCATTCTGGGCATCCAAATTTGCTCTACAATTCATGCTAACTATACTTGTAATTGAAATAAAAGAAGGAAAAACGCACAAAAAACAAAAGATAAGGCCTAAAACTTACTTTCCGTTTATCTATTTGTTATTCTTCGTTGGTTTGTTTGTATAAATTTAGGAAAAAAGGACTTTTCCTGGGGGGCAAAATGTGATTTCGTGGAGGGGGGAGGGCACACGTGGGGACTGGGGGCATTTGCCCCCCCCCCCCAGCTTGTATGTTAAAAAAGGCCCTGTGTGATCGGAATTAGGATTGCACAATATTTTCATTCCAGTTTATCAAGTGTAGATACCATTCAGTTTTGAATGCGATGCTTTTAGTATTATTAATATTGTATTTGTAATTTGGTATTTGACATATCTTTACTCTGACGAGAACCTTGTTGGACAATATGCTTAATTTCAATAAGAATAACATGTTTCTGTGTTTTAATTCGGTAATTCAACATTTTATTAATTCACAATTCAATTTGGCAATCATTAGGTTACCATTAATATACAGGGTGTCTCAAAAAACCGCTACCCTTGGAAATTCACCATTGTTCTAATTTGAATGCCTGAGTGCTATCTTGAACTCATGGGTAATTTAAGACAATAAATACTCTTTGCTCTGTGCTAAGTTGAGCCATTTGCTTGACATTCACTAATATGTAATTGAACGATTTTCGTGCAGTTATACTTTTATATGAATTATTTTCAATTCCCAGGATAAAAAATTTCGCTTTTTAAGGATATTTTAATTCCGAAGATCTTTAATATATGCATCATGTGAAAATGTTTACGCATTCATGGCGTCAACAAGGTTCAGGCATTCAAATTAGAACAATGGTGAATTTCTAAGGGTAGCGGTTTTTTGAGACACCCTGTACTGTAAATAACTCAACTACATACCTGTTTAATTTAAGTATAACCGCATGCGTTGATCAAAAATATATTTTTCCTGCATTAATCATGATTTTAACCATGCCATTTAGTACCCCGTTATAGCTTTTCTTCTGAAAAACAACCATTTGACAGCAATTTCTTCACTTGCCTAAAAATGACATTAAAAGTTCCCCTTTAATTAATCGTGCCACACCCCCAACACCCCCTCCCCTTAGCAACGACTCTGAATGTGTCATACTCACTGATCTCATGATCAACTTTTAACCGATCGATCGATCAGACGTGTAATATATCGCTCCACATTATTCTTAAATTTTTTTGAGTTATTTGCTGGAATACTCTGTGGCAAGTATTGTAATCGAAATGCAAGAACTACGGCTTTGCTGGACGGGTGATTTGGAGAAATTGAAGCTTTTTGTAAGCAAGAATGTTGATTTTGTCGGCGTATGGACTTCACCAGGCAATGATAAAAAAAAATACAGTGATGGTTATAGCTCAATATCCTGGCGCAAATCCAAGAAAGTGTTGGAAATAGAAGGCAGAGACAGGAACCTGATAACAGCTAAGTTGTGTACAATGTTATGTAATGATTTCGATCCTGTACAGTCAAGCAAAAGCGACAACTATTGCGGATTCCCTTCCACAAGCAATGAAATGCTTGTTGAATTGGAGGGCGTTAAACTCGATGTAACAATTACTGAGAAAGATATTCGTGATAACAAACATAGCATTAAAAACGTGGAAGATTGCCTTGATAAAGTAGTTGGTAAATTAAACATTATTAACCAACAGTTTGATGTATTTAGGGCAGAGTTTCAGTTGTTGAAAAACCAACATACGATTCAATATTCGCCTAAAGCTGTCGAATATTCAAATTTGGACAATCAAAACGCCTCCGGATTGCAAAAACGTCATGAGGAAAACAATAACATAATAGGATCGAATCTAAATGATGACATTGTAATGAGTCGTAATGATGCATTACAATCTCTGGCAAATTTGCGGTCTGAGTGCCTTTCCAATGTTTGTTATGATACTCAATTAAAGCGTCTTGAAAGGGAACTGCATGATGAACAAGATAAAACCAAGCAACTTGAATCTGAGCTAACGGTTGCCGAAACAAAAATCTTACAACTCGAACAGGTACTAAACCTACACGAGTTAGAACAAAAGAGTAAAGAAACTGACAATGGGCTTTGTCATGATCATTCCTGCATTATTTTGGAGACACTCAGCACTAATTGCATTAGAAATCAACACGCGCCTCCGACTCAAGAGAATACCTGTACTAATAAATATATTACATCTCAAGAATTACCACCTAACCCTCGAATACCACCAAAACAAGTTGATAAGCAGGAGCCTCAAAAACATGCTGGTCAAGTAAGTCAATTCCCAAAACATACGGAAATTTCGGACATAACTAACTGTTATGCCATCCCGACTCGCGTTACCCATAGAACACCATCAAAGAAATCGACGTGGCGACGAAATAAACATGGCGCTAGAATCAACCAGACTGAGGAGGGTTTTCGCAAGGACAAATGGAAAGCCAATATGAGGTTTTTCCAGTATTATTACTAGAACATGATTTTTCCCTATCAGGTCGCCCTACTTCAATTCATCGCGGACAACGTAATTTAAATAATATTATTCAAATTAACATTAATAAAACTGTTATTTCCAATGCTAATGACTATTTCTACGTTCCGAAACTATTATTGACAAATACGATGTCATTAGCTCCCAAAATTGATGAAGTGAGTTGTTTTGTCACAGAAAAGAGTCCTGACCTTGCCTGTATAACGGAAACATGGCTAAATGACCGTATCTCAGATTCCTGCCTCGATATTCCAGGTTACAATTTTGTTCATAAAAACCGCAGTGTGGGCTCCCACGGAGGGGTTGGGGTGTACATCAGGAACACGATATTTTATAAGCCTCTGAATCATCTCCACCATATAGATTACGAAGTTCTGTGGGTCTATGTTCGTCCAAGTAGACTTCCCCGCGGGTTTTCCTGCTTGATACTTGGTGTCGTTTACCATCCACCTAATGCTAATGATGATGAAATGCTCCAATTTCTCTCCACATCACTGATTACTATTGAAAGCACTTATCCTGGCTGTGGGTTTATTCTTGCAGGCGACTTTAATCGGTTAAAATGCAATCGGATATTAACACAGTTCAGTTGCAAACAGATTGTTAACGTTTCCACAAGGGCCAACCAGACTTTGGATCTAATAATAACCAACTTACATTCGTTTTATGATAAGAACTCTGTCGAAAAATTTCCGCCATTTGGTCTTTCAGATCATAATGTTGTGATTGTCAATCCTTGCAAAAGAGAACCCAAGTCATGCAGTAGAAGAATTATCTCTAGTAGAGATTTACGATCTAGTAAAAGGCATGAGCTTGGAAGATACCTTACATCTATCGATTGGTCCTCTCTGAATCATTTTGACACATGCGAAATGAAACTCCAGTATTTCGAAGAGTTAGTACGTCTCGGTATTAGCACCATTATGCCAATAAAGAAAACGGCTTTGCATGTACACGATCCTCCATGGATTACTGCAGAATTTAAAGAGCTTATAAGGAAGCGTCAAGCTGCCTTCTGCAGTGGAAATACCTTTCAGTTCAAGTATTACCGGAATCGGGTTAACCGCGAGCGAAAGACATGCCGGGCGAAATTCTACTCTTCAAAAGTAAAGAATCTTAAATCGACCAAACCGAAGAGATGGTGGAAGGAGGTGAAGCAGATTGCTGGTATGGTACCTACAACCGGCTCCGATGACCTATGTAGTCAACTTCATTTAGACGATATCGAGAATATGCAACGTCCTGACATTGCGAATTTAATTAATAACGCCTTTTTGGAGCCCATGAACTCCTTCAATCCACTGTCAACCCTTCCCCCCTTTGATAATTATTCCTCTTTTCAAGTGAACGAATTGGAAGTCTTTCATTTACTGAAAGCAATTAATCGTGGAAAGGCGTCAGGTCCTGACGAAATTCCCAATTGGGCTCTTAAGGAATATGCTGAAATCCTTGCACAGCCAGTATGCGCTGTGCTAAACAGCAGCTATGCCGAACAACAACTACCTAAATCTTGGAAGCTTGCCAACATTGTGCCCCTCATAAAAACTAAGCCCGTTAGCGACATTTGTAAGCAGTTACGACCAATTTCACTTACTGCCGCTATTTCGAAAATCGCCGAGGACTGTGTTGTTAAAAAATACATTGCTCCAGCTATCATGAGTATAATCGATCCAAGTCAATATGGAGTAATACCAAGAAGTTCAACTACTCTCGCTGTTATATCTATGATCCATGAATGGTCGCAAGCTACTGATGGCACTGGCTCTGCTGTCAGAGTCATCCTGTTCGATTATAGAAAAGCATTCGACCTTATCGATCATGCTTTACTGGCTGATAAAATTTCCAATTTAGCTATTCCACGTGCGGTTGCTCGCTGGACAATCGATTTTTTGATGAATCGAAAGCAGAGAGTGAAATTATCCAATGACTGTTATTCGGAGTGGGGAGATGTACTTTCCGGTATCCCTCAAGGTACAAAATTAGGGCCCTGGCTATTTTGTTTAATGATAAACGATCTTGATATTTGTGATATATCGAGGTGGAAGTTTGTTGATGACACAACAGTTGCTGAAGTAGTTAGTAAGGACACAGAGAGCCGTGTTCAAGTCGCAGTTGATGTTGTGGAAGATTGGTCGAAGGCAAATGGGCTATCTCTTAACACTGAGAAATGTAAAGAACTGAGAATCGATTTTAAAAGAATTAAACAACATTTTGATCCTGTACTGGTGGGTGGAGAAGCATTGCCTATAGTTGAGAGTGCAAAAATATTGGGTCTTGTTATGACAGGCACACTTCAGTGGAAAGATAACATCAGAGAGAGTATAAAGAAAGCTAATAAACGCCTCTATTTTATAGTACTATTGAAACGGGCAAGCGTAAATGTCAATGATGTCTTGAACTTTTATTGTACAGTGATCAGGCCTGTGCTCGAGTATTGTGCGCAAGCCTTCCATCATTCCATCCCAAAGTATTTGGCAGACGAACTTGAGACTGTCCAGAAACGTGTGCTAAAAATTTTATCTCCTGAAATGACATATTGTGAGGCCCTTGAGTATTTTAGACTGCCTACTCTATTTCAAAGAAGAGAGGACATGTGTGACAAACTCTTTACGAGTATCATCAAGGATCCAATGCATAAACTTCATCATCTGCTGCCCCCGAAGAACGAGACTGATTATTCTTTCAGGACGAATCGGTATTTTAATATGTACGTTACACGCACGAACCGCTTTTATAACTCTTTTATCCCTGCTATGTGTAGGAAGTTTGTAGGATAGATTTTATGCTTATTTTAATCGAATTTTGATCGTGGGTGGGTTTTTATAATATTGTATTAATAATATATTTATATGTAGTGCATGTGATAATATGTAATCCACGCAATTCAGCTTCTGGCTGCAATGTGGTTTCAATTTAATAATAATAATAATAATAATAATAATAATTACAGTAGATCAGGGGGCAGATCATTAATGAAGTATGAACTAAGAGCGGCTGCTTAAAGCGCCATTTGTAAGCTCACAGTCTACCTCGGTCTGCTTCACGTCAGTTCCGGTTCTGTCTATCTATCTATCTATCTATTCAAAATGTAACCAGTCACTGAAAAACACTGATAGGGAGTATCTGTATACCAGTGGGCCTACGCATCAGAATGTGTTCGCTGTGCTTGCTCTCATCTTGATGACTCAGAGATGTTGTCAAGGGCTTGTTGACAACCTTGTACAAGGTTGTTGACTCAAAAGACTTTTCACAAGTTGTACCAACAACATGTTAACAACATGTTTAACAAATTGTGAGTGACAATCTTGTCATGTCTTAGTTGACAAACTAACACTGACATTGTTATAACTTGTGGACAAGCTTGCTAGAAGCCTGTTGCGAACATATCTTGGATTCTTACGTGTGTATAGAAATACATTTACTATGATTTGCTATATTTTATAGCATTAAACATAATATCAGTTTACTTAATATTTTTCTAAATCTCTGGTTTGTATGCATGTCGGCAAAAGCAACCAGTTTCTATCTTGTGTCACGGTTCTCTATATGTACAAGTTGTTGAAACAGCATTGGTGTCGAAAGTTTACGGTTTACCTGTCTAAGACTGGGGTGAAAGCATTTCTAAGTGTTTCCTATAATAGGTTGTTAAGTGCATCAAATTTGGCGAATAGATAGAAAACATTTAAAGGCATTCCATAGTTGTAATAACGTTTTAAATGTTAAGGTCATGCGTTTTTATCATGAATCCTAACTCAGATTCTTTTACCTTGGAATCTTAACTCAAACTGTTCTAACTCCCTTCCCAACTCGATTAGTAGTACTGTATATATCGGCATCCTCATAATTGCATTAATTATTTTGTGAATACCTCTAAATATTAATTGTTTTAGTATATGGTTATATTAAAGTTATAGTTAGCTAGTATAACAGTATGATAGTAAAATTCATACCATTGTAGAAAACAGATGAATAATTAAAAGTTGGGAGTTTTGTTCGTCTTCTTTGTCTACTTCCAACGGCAAACCACGTATTTTTACTTCTATAATGTACACCTGACGGCTTGCATTTCAAGGCGTGGCAAGTTTTACTCCAAATTGCATAGCTCGGTAGAACTCTTATAAACAATAAATCGCTTGCAATTAAACTGAGTGTTAAATTTGTATGATAATATGCAGCAAAGTTTTCACACAAAAAGTGTCACATAATAAATACACCGTAAATTTATACAGTCAGTGGCGGCGCCAGGGGTGGGGGCAAGGGGGGGTGGCAAATGCCCCCCCCCAATTATTTTTTGCCCCCCCCCATTTTGCCCCCCCCCCTCAAAAAAAATTATTAGTCACTAAGAGCGACTAAAGGCTACACAAGCGTTTTGTCGTTATCGGAAAATGTATGGCTTATAAGTTGTCATTACTCATTAGTGAATACGCGTATACATGAAACTGTTTTTTACAGTTTCAATATTAGTTTGTAAATTTCTGAATGGTAAAACTTGCCAATAGTCCAATAATACGTTTCAAAAAAAGACAAAAAAACTTTAGTTTTGCATAGTTAAATTCTCAAACTATTTGAATAAACCACATATATCGCATATATGGGGGGCGAATGTCCTAAAGAGGGGCAATATTCCTAGGGTATTCGCCCCACCCCCCTGGGAAACGATATTCCTAGGATGTTCGCTCCCGGGGGCGATATTCCTAGTATCGCCACGTTTTGAGGGGGGGGGGCGAATCTCCTGGGGGGCGACCTTTTTAAAAATTCTATCTTGCCCCCCCCCAAACTTGAGTTTGCCCCTCAAATGCCCCCCAAATTTGGAGGCCTGGCGCCGCCACTGTATACAGTCATTTGAAGGAGTTTGTTTTGGGCATCGTCATCGTGTTTCTGTCTTACATGCTTAGGTACCTGCAACCATAGACAATCCGGCAGCATGTCCTCTGTATTGTCTATGCTGCAACCAAGTCATGCATGGTCCCCTGTGTGAAACTATCTTCTCTTTTGTGTGCTATACGCAAATCACTCTTTACTGATTGCAGAGGTTTATCGACACTTCATTACATCGGTCACCTGGTCGTGGTCGCGAACGTCACGACCCTAAAATGGAAACCAGGCATTATGCTCACTGAAACAGGGGGGTTAATAAAGAGGTATGGATACGAAATCAACAGTTAATTTGTCGCCTCTGTTATTTCTAGTACCCGAATACGACATAGCGTTCCCAAAGCATGTTGATAAAAGAGGACAACAAATTTCAAGTTATAATGCGAAACGTGAGATCGAAGAAACAGGTTTAAAATACTATCATCTCACTGCATTCAACAAGAATCTTCATTTGAAGGTGTCATTAAATAAGCATCTGCTTGGTCCGGGTTTTCACGTTGAAACGAGACATAAGGATGGTTCGAGAACGATAACTGACGCACCACATCGTAATTTTTATCACGGCCATGTTGTTGATCATCCCGGATCTTTTGTTGCGTTAAGTGATAACAGTGGAGTGGTAAGATATGCACGTAATTAGTATTCAATTAATTTCATACTGTAGTATTGCATGGCATTTACCAATGATAAAATCATGGAAGGGTTTATCTCTCTAACTACGTTTTCATTTTCCTTTTACAGAGTGGTGCAATTCGCCTCGTGGATGATGAGATATTGTACATGGAACCTGTACCACGTCATTTGCTTGATCATATTCACCACGATGAACATCTTCCACATTTAGTTGTAAAGAAAACTGAAAAAGATTTCCAGAGAGGAAACAAAGTTATGTTTGACACTGAAGGTATGTTTATTGTTAAAGTTATTCACTAAAAGAGAGTGATAGGCTATAAGTGGCGGAAGATTGGTTTCCGTTGCGATGGCACTGGTGGTGGCCTCCCAATGGAACGCCCCATATGTGTTCGCAAAATATATATTTCAATTTCCAAATGCAAAAACTTTTCAGTTAAAATCTTTTAAGATTAAAACACTACTTTTTTTTAAGTTGTGGCAGAATCCCAGCTTTGCAGGTCTTACTTGAATAGAAACACCTGAATTTACTAGAAAACTTT